TTCTCTAGGAACAGGTAAGAATTCTCTAGGAACAGGTAAGAATTCTCTAGGAACAGGTAGAATTTCTCTAGGAACAGGTAAGAATTCTATAGGAACAGGTAGAATTTCTCTAGGAACAGGTAAGAATTCTCTAGGAACAGGTAAGAATTCTCTAGGAACAGGTAGAATTTCTCTAGGAACAGGTAAGAATTCTCTAGGAGCAGGTAAGAATTCTCTAGGAGCAGGTAAGAATTCTATAGGAACAGGTAAGAATTCTCTAGGAACAGGTAAGAATTCTATAGGAACAGGTAGAAATTCTATAGGAACAGGTAAGAATTCTCTAGGAACAGGTAGAATTTCTCTAGGAGCAGGTAAGAATTCTATAGGAACAGGTAAGAATTCTATAGGAACAGGCAAGAATTCTATAGGAACAGGTAGATATTCTATAGGAACAGGTAGATATTCTATGGGGAAAAGTACAAATTCTCTAGGAACAGTTAGGAATTCTCTAGGAACAAGTAGGAATTCTCTAGGAACAGGTGGAAATTCTATAGGAACAGGTAAGAATTCTATAGGAACAGGTAGAAATTCTATAGGAACAGGTAGAAATTCTCTAGGATCAAGTAGAGATTTTCTAGGAACATGGAGAAATTCTCTAGGAACATGGAGAAATTCTCTAGGAACATGGAGAAATTCTCTAGGAACAGGTAGAAATTCTCTAGGATCAGGTAGGGATTCTCTAGGAACAGGTAGGAATTTTCTAGGAGTGCGTAGGGATTCTCTAGGAATGCGTAGGGATTCTCTAGGGTCAGGCAGGGATTCTCTAGGAACAAGTAGGGATTCTCTAGGAACAGGTAGGGATTCTCTAGGAACGGGTAGGGATTCTCTAGGGTCAGGCAGGGATTCTCTAGGGACGGGTAGGGATTCTCTAGGAACGGGTAGGGATTCTCTAGGAACGGGTAGGGATTCTCTAGGAGCAAGTAGGGATTCTCTAGGAGCAAGTAGGGATTCTCTAGGAGCAGGTAGGAATTCTCTAGGAACAGGTAGGAATTCTCTAGGATCAAGTAGGAATTCTCTAGGAACAAGTAGGGATTCTATAGGGACAGGTAGGGATTATGAAGAACAACTGTGTCCCTCCAAGTCCAGCCCCTGTTTTCAGATCCCAGAATGCCCGAGCTGCTGGCTGTGGAGTCAGTGCAGGTCTTGCCTGGGTGTTCCTGCATTCCCCCCCTCCCAAACTGCCTTAACTGACTTAAAATTACTTCCCCCAAAAGAAAACCCCCAATGACATTGGAAATGCAGCTGGAGCAGGGGTGTGGGAACAGCTCAGCCCGGACATGGGGATGGACATGATGACTTTGGCAGCACTGGGTGTCCCAAGGTGCCCCCTGGAGCTGCAGGAGAGCTCAGGGGTCAGTTCAGGTCTCTGTCCCGTGTCTCCCTGGAAGCTTCACGAGGAATTTGGCAGCGAGGAGGAGGAGGATGAAGCCCCTCCACGTCCCTGCTGATCCCTTTCTCCACCAGAGCTCTACAGCTACACCGAGGAGCCCGAGCTGAGCCACAACAGGAGATGCTTCGAGGAGGATTTCCACGCTCAAGGTACCAGCCCTGGGCCCGGGGCAGCCCCCCGGGGTGGGAGCAGGACCCTCAGGGAAGCCCCTGGCTGGTGGTCGTGTCCTTCCCCCAGTGCCAGGCAGGAGGTGGCTGGAGCTGGACGGGGCCCAGCAGAAGGCCTTTGTCATGCGCCTGCTGGACGGGCTGGAGGTGGTCAACAGGGACAGGAGGCTCCGGGTGGCCCGGGCCATCCTCTACCTGGCACAGGGTAAGCACCATGTCCCTGTCTCTGCTGCCAGGGGCCCTGGGAGAACCTCAGGAGAACCCTTCTCCCGGGACCATGCTGGGCTGGCAGCTCCTTCCTGGGGTCTCCAGGGGTTCCAAGGCAGATCCTCCCCAACAAGGGTTTGTCTCTGGGGTTGCTCCTCTCCAGGTGTGTTTGGGGACTGTGATAACGAGGGCGATGTCCTGCACTGGTCTCGGCACAACAGCTTCCTCCTGTACCGCCTGGGCACCTTCTCCGCCTTCCTGGAGCTGCTCAACATGGAGATCGAGTGAGGGACCCGCACTGCCCTTACCCTCCTCGCCCTCCCTGTCCTCTGCTTCACCCTGTGCTTTCCTCTTGCCCTCAGCACCCTCCTCTTCTTGGACTCGATGATCTCAGGGGGCTTTTCCAACCTGAATGATCCTGTGGTCCTATGATCTCCTTTCTTCCCTTCTTCCCTTCTCCTCGCCTTCGTTCTTCCCATCCTCCTCTTCATCTTCATTCTCCCCATCCTCCTCACCCTCCTCCTCTTCATCTGCTTTCTCTTCATCCTCCCCGCCTTCTTCTTCCATCCTCCTCACCCTCTTCTTCTTCACCTTCTTTGTCCTCATCCTCCTCACCTTCATCTCCAAATCTCCATCTTCTTTCTCCTCACCCTTCTCCTCTTCACTTTCTTCCTCCCTGCCCTCCTCCCCCTCTCCTTCCTCCTGCTCCTCACAGATGCCCAGGGGGGTCCCACAGCCCTGTCAGGTCCCCCATCCCGGTGTTCCCAGGTGTTCCTGGGCTCAGCCATTGGCTGTGGGTCGGGATGAGGCGAGGCTGGCGCCGATCCCGTGCCATTCCCTGCAGGAACAGCCAGGCCTGCAGCAGCGCCCTGCGGAAACCGGCCATCTCCCTGGCCGACAGCACGGAGCTCAGGTACCCCCCTGGCATGGGAGAGGGTGGGACAATGGGGGGGACAACCCTGGGGACAAGGGGCACGCCTCACCTGCCTGCTGTCCCCGCAGGGTCCTGCTCAGTGTCATGTACCTGATGGTGGAGAACATCCGTGTGGAGCAGGAGGCGGATCCGCCCGAGTGGAAAACCTGCCGGGAGACCTTCAGGATGGAGCTGAGTGAGCCACAAACCCACTGTGCCCTCTCGAGGTCCCTTTGCTCTGCTGGGCTGGCGGGGAGAGCCCGGGGAGGAGGGATCAGCTCCGGAGCCGTTCCTGCTCCCTCTCTCCACAGGTTTCCCTGTGCACACGGAGGAGCCGTTTGCTCTCCTGCTCTTCACGATGGTGACCAAGTTCTGCAGCGGCCACGCTCCACACTTCCCCATGAAGAAGGTCCTGCTCCTGCTCTGGAAGGTGCTCCTGGTGAGTGCAAACCCTTCCTTTTTTCCAGAAGCATTTTGCTTTGGAACAGTGCTGCTGCAGCCTGGACGTTCCCCACTGTTGGACCCGACCACAACGAGGTTATTTGGGATACACGGGGAGCTGACACAGGGCAGGTTCCTCTGGGATCAGGATGGGCTGAGCACTCAGAGGACGTGGGGTGGGGGAGAAGTGATCCCTCAGCCTGGAGAACAAACCAGTGGTGTGGTGTCTTCAGCTCCCTGGGATCAGGGTGGGCCGAGCACTCAGAGGACGTGGGGTGGGGGAGAAATCTGGAGGATGAACCAGTGGCAAGGTGTCTCCAGCCCCCCAGTTTGATCCCCCAACGTGCTGCTCCCTGGAAACCTGTGCTCCTGGTGGGATGTGTGTCCCTGCTGAGCAATGGGATGTGTGTCCCTGCTGAG